AGGTCTCCGGCTAGAGCACTCTCCACCCTGTCAGCTCAATGGATACATGTGATGTAGGTTTCCTCTAGCTGCTGGTGCATTCTGCAGCCTTCCTGAAGGTCACGTTCTGTGGTGGGGGTACAGCACACTAGCACCAAGGGGATTCTAACACTGCTTGATATAGAATTGGTCTACAGGTTTCTGCAACAAGGCAGGGATCGTCCCCTAACATTTATCTCGAGGGACATGAGGGCTTGGTAGCGGGTTAAATTCAACTGTGAGGCTGTAAAGAGTTGCAGAGTCCAGGAGCTCAAATGACTTATAACGCCCCATCTTTTGCAATGTATTTAATTGATTAGGTAAGGATATTTTTTGCCTCAGGAAAAAAAATAAATTAAAAAATCGAGGTATAAAAACATATGTAAACCCCAATATTGAACCTCTTTTATGCTACGTTTTTAGCCTTGATCTATGCTTTAAAACTAGATCTATACCCTAAAATAAAGTTAGTGTAACTTTACATTTTTTACATTATTATATAAGAACATTTTCATCAGAAAGTGAAAAAAAAAAAAAACATACAGATTGTTGTAAATTCCCTTCAACAGCCACTCACAATGCCAAAGTTACGGCACTGGTCATATGGTCTGTGACCTAAGAAGTGAATTGAAACTGCTGTCCACTGTTGGAAAAGGTGTTCACACTGCAGGAGAGGTGCTTGGAAAATTGTGGCATGTGGCAGTCTGAGTGTAATTCTTATGAAACTTTACAGTATGTTTATGTTTAAAGGTTTCCTCCATTCCATCATTTTATTATGCAACCTCTCTGTAATTTACTGGAACACAAAGTATAAACCTTTTGTTAACTCCTACACATGCTAAAGAAAAATTCCAAATTATAGACATGCACAAATAAGTCTACTGATCTAGGCAGGGCTTTTTTTCTCAGAGAATAGGTGCAGGAATTCCCTCCTTGTCTCCACCCCTTACCCATCCCATCTCTGACCACTGTCCATTGGTTCCACCCCCTTACCCACCTCCCTGTACCGCCCCTTTTAGAAAATAGAAAACCAAGTATCATTTTGTGGTGCTACGTAATTTGTTAGTGAGAACAAAAAATCTGTAAAATATACTCCTGCAGTCAGCAACAATAGATCCTTCCCAAGCAACATTAGATCCCCCGCAACTTCGGACCCCGCAATAAAAAACATACCACTCCAACAGCAAAAGATCCACCCCAGTGACAATAGCCCCCCAGCAACAACAACAACAGATCTCCCAGCAAGCAGCATCAAAAGACCGTCCAGCAGCCAGCGTTAATAGACTTCTCCCTCAACAGTAGATCCCTCCCAGCAACAAAGCAACATAAGACCCCCTCAGTAACAACTGATCCCCTAATAGCAACAATATCACTTTCCATTAACATACATTCAGTGCTGGAGGTGTCAGAATTGTTTTTCCCCGCGGTCCCACTGAAAAAAGCCCTGCATATAACTATCAGTCATTCTGGTTAACAACTACATTTCTTCATTTTCACAAAGGCTTTAATGGAGTCAATGGATGGACATACAAATAAAAATAACTTTATCAAACAAAAAGACATTTAAAAAGGCTGAGCAAAGAGCAAAAAAGCTGAAGTGCCAAGTTCAATCACCTATGTCTACCAGATTGGATTTCAGTTTACTAAAATCAATGCACTTTGCCATAGTGAATAAGCTTGTTAGTCTATGTTTCATTGTCGAAACCTGCCTGACCTAAGAAAGATATACAATATTTTATCTGCAAGGGAAAGTAATTGCTTCTAAAGTGCAGCACAAAAATATTGGGACCAAAATAATATTTTTACTACATAAAAACTAGCAAAAGTGTGGCTATTAGTCAAAAAAGGCAGAACTTTGAGGTCATGAAATTTCCTAGTGATTAAATCAATTATTTACTGATAAGTTAATAGTGTGATCATTTAAATATTGAGTAACTCATTTACAGCATAGTGTACAGAAAGGTACACATGGTGGGTGTGCGCACGCACGCACGCACGCACACACACACACACACACACACACAATACACCATTGCCTAAAAGGAGGTGTGGAGTATAAAATAAATTATATACACACAGCATGGTGTAGAGTGTATTAATGTATGGCACAACATACACAGCAGAGCAATGTGGATTACATCATATATACCATGCAATAAAATGAGCGGTATGTACCAGCACAGTATATTCAAAGTGGAGTGCTATATGTAACATACTGCACAGTATAAAGAAGACCACTGCACAGTATATTATAGAGCAGAGCAGGGGTCTCCAAACATTTTAAACAAAAAGGACCAGTTAACTGTCCTTCAGACTTTAGGGGGGGTGGACTGTGCCCAGTGGGAGTAAACAATGCCCTGTCATTGGTGCCAGGGGCGGGAATTATGCCCCCTCGTTGGCGCCAGGGGCGGGTATTATGCCCCGTCGTTGGCGCCAGGGGCGGTTATTATGCCCCGTCGCTGGCGCCAGGAATTATGCCCAGTCGCTGGCGCCAGGAATTATGCCCAGTCGCTGGCGCCAGGAATTATGCCCAGTCGCTGGCGCCAGGAATTATGCCCAGTCGCTGGCGCCAGGAATTATGCCCAGTCGCTGGCGCCAGGAATTATGCCCAGTCGCTGGCGCCAGGAATTATGCCCAGTCGCTGGCGCCAGGAATTATGCCCAGTCGCTGGCGCCAGGAATTATGCCCAGTCGCTGGCGCCGGGGGCAGGAATTATGCCCAGTCGCTGGCGCCGGGGGCAGGATTATGCCCAGTCGCTGGCGCCAGGAATTATGCCCAGTCGCTGGCGCAGGAATTATGCCCAGTCGCTGGCGCCAGGGGCAGGAATTATGCCCAGTCGCTGGCGCCAGGGGCAGGAATTATGCCCAGTCGCTGGCGCCAGGGGCAGGAATTATGCCCAGTCGCTGGCGCCAGGGGCAGGAATTATGCCCAGTCGCTGGCGCCAGGGGCAAGAATAATCTCCCAGTGCCAGTTCAAGTGCCAGCAAGGCAAGCAAACAGCCACAGCTAGCCACCCAGGCCGCAGTTTGGAGACTACTGGGTAGAGCATCTCGTACAACACATTGTGAAATGAAAAAAAAGTAAATACATTTGGATACATGTATTTCTTTTCCTTCGGTCAGCTTTGTTCTTCAAATTATAGTGTTGGAAATACTTGTGCTGTGTAAAGGTTCTGCTGCACATATTGGCCACCACCCTTGTGTACAGACTTGAGCCATTCCTTTGCAATATGGTGGCTCTAGTTTCTGACAAACCTTCATACATCTGTACAAAGCCATAGGGTGAAGGAACCATGCAAGTTAATATAAAAAAAAATTTGCTAAGTTACACCTACATAGAGAGATTTTGAACTATATGCACTTTTACCTTTCCACTGCAAAAAAAATAAATAATGTGCTGTAGAAGCAACAGAAAGCAAAGCGTTTTGGCAGCTAAGCTTTTGACAAAGTTCCACTACCAAACTCATCCCCCTTTATGGAGACCAACCTGATCCTGAAAAACGGCTTTCCCACCACCTTGGCCACAATTGCAAAGTTCTGAACCCCACTATGATGTGCTACCATGCATTCTGGTATAACACACATTACTGCAGCACAAATATATGATCAACATGTATAAATACATCAGTGGTTCATATAGTGAACTCGGTGTAGAGTTATTCACCCTGAGGTCATCACAGAGGACAAGGGGGCACTCTGTACGTCTGGAGGAAAAGAAATGTAATCTCCAAACATGGAAAGGTTTCTTCACAGTAAGAGCTGTGGAAATGTGGAATAGACTCCCTCAAGAGTTGGTTCTGGCCAGCTCAGTAGATTGCTTTAAAAAAGGCCTGGATTGTTTCTTAGATACACAGAATATAACTGGATACTAACATTTATAGGTAAAGTTAATCCAGGGAATATTCGAACGCCTCTCGGGGGATCAGGAAGGAATTTTTTCCCAGCAGGAGCAAGTTGGATCATGCTTTGCTGAGTTTGTTTTTTGCCTTCCTCTGGATCAACTGTGGGTATAGGATTCTAACTTTTTTTTTTAATGGTTGAACTGGATGGACTTTTGTCTTTTTTCAGCCAGACTAACTATGTAACAAAGACGGGAAGCCAGCCTTTAGCTCTATTAAAAACAAAACAACCCATTTCTGAAAAAGGAACTTCATACATATCTGCCATAAAGTCAAGCCACTCTACCATAGTTTACCAATAACTGGCAACCTTTCAATTTTTATATTCGTATGATATACTGTTTCCAGCCACCACTTAAAAGAAGGATGATAATTAAAGAACCATATAACAAGGTGTGCCTTGTCGTGCACAGCAGATCTAACACTGGGTTGGTTACCAAATTGTGAAACAAGATTATGGTGGTTTGTTAGAGCTCTATCTCTAACGTTTCAATACTTTTGTTATCTGTGCTACATCATATAAAAGAATAATGCCCTTTTAATGTACACTTTTCCTTTCTAATAGCATCATTCAAGTACACCTCAAACTTGGACTCCTTTTTTATTCATTGATAAAAAGTTTATATTGATAGTAACAGACTTTTTGCATAATACGTTGCCTTGTTTTTCTAAAATTGCAGACTCCACTTCTAAACAAATCACACTGTTCGCAAAGCATTGAATATATAACCCTTTCAAGTTGCGTAAATGCTTTTAAGTCAGTACAAGAGCACCACCACAATCATTATTAAGTCTCATTCACACAGGGCACTTACCGTATTTTTCGCCGTATAAGATGCACTTTTTCTTCCCCAAAACTGGGGGGGAAATGTCAGTGCGTCTTATAGAGCGAATATGGAGCGGCCGGTCCGGTATTTCCACCGCGGCCGTGTCAGAATACTGGGCCGGCCACTCAGCTCTGCAGCGGGACCTTACCTGTTCCTCTATCCAGCGGCGTGCTGTCTTCCCGGCTTCTGTAGTGTGGGCACTGGGCATGACAGCCCGGTGCCAAGTGCGCATGTGCAAGAAGCGGTGCTTTTTGTGAATGGTAAGGCGGTACCTGGGACACATGACAGATCCCAGAAGCCGCCGGACCAATCACAAAGCGCAAGTGCTTCTCGCTCATGCGCACTGGGCACCCGGCTGTCATGCCGAGCGCCATTACAGAAGCCGGGAAGACAGCGCGCGGCTGGATCGAGGAACAGGTAAGATCAAACAAAAACTTTTGTAAGTAAGTAAAATTCAGAGCGGGTACCTGTCAAATTCAGGTACCCGCTTCCCCACCTCCCCAAAGGTCAGCAGTCATCTGTGCTGTCCGCAGTCTCTGGTCATCTCCTGTACTGTCCGCAGTCTCTGGTCATCTCCTGTACTGTCCCTGCAGTCTCTGGTCATCTCCTGTACTGTCCGCAGTCTCTGGTCATCTCCTGTACTACTGTCTGCAGTCCATTAGTTCAGAATTTTTTATTTTCCTGTTTTCTGCCTCTAAAACCTAGGTGCGTCTTATGGTCAGGTGCGTCTTATACGGCGAAAAATACGGTAGCTCTGGTTCACATATGTGGCCATGTGAGCTGCATTTGCACGAGCATGAGAGCCCATTCATTTGAATGGACTTCTGTGGCCCATGACACGCAGGGAAGAAGTCCCTGCACTTCTGAAAATGCAGCCCGCACAGGAACCTCGGTTCCCAGTACGGTTGCGTTTTCCAGTGCAGGCCGCAGGCCATTAGAACTAATGGCACCCGCCCGCGGGTCCGCATTCCTCTGTGCGGCTGCACGGATTTTCGTGCGGATCTGCAGTGGCACCACCTGCACAGATGTGAACCTAGCCTTACATCTGTGCCCTGTGCAGGACTTACCGTGTTTACTGGCATGAGGATGCACAGGTGTTCCGTGCATCACTGTGTCAGCAGTCCCATTGCTACTCTGAATGTGACATCCATGCGTGAACACGGCCCCAAATGCACCCAGGGTGAGTTCAGGGGCACGCACCCACACAAAATGTCAGAACACTGTGACTGTCTCAATGGACATTGATGGAACTGTCCATACAGGGATACATGGAACCCCTGTGCATCCCTGTGCGGGTAAAGATGGACCTGCATAGGGCATGAATGTAATTGCTCTGTGTGAACGAGTGATTGTAAAGCTTTCGTTTTTTTGTTTTTTTTTTTAAATAAAATAATAAGCATGTCATATTCACCTGCTCTATGCAATGGGTTTGCATTACGCAGCCCCAATCCTCTTTTTCTGGGGTCCTCCCATAAAAAGCAGCTTTCCTTAGAGGCACTTTTGTGGGCTCATAGAAACATAGTAAAGTGATAGCAAAAAAAAAAAAAATGACAAAGAGGTCCATCAAGACGCCCTGTCAGCGTCTATAGACACAGCAAGGTCGGTGCTACCACTAGGCAAATGTTTATGAATGTGAATGTTTACATGTTATGTGCAATTAAACCATTGCAACATCTAATGTTTGTGTAGTATTATGTTCAGCAGACTGTGTTCTTCTATTGTTGTGACTTAGATGGACGTTCAGAGCACATTTTATGCCCAATTCATGCAAAACTCCACGTAATCCCAAGGGGTTCACATACTTTTTCTTGCAACTGTAGCTTGTCTTGCCTAAGGAACAAAATAGTCTACAACTTGCCCCGCCAATAATGCACAGAGCTGGTTCGGGATCAGGCTCAGGAAAGTATAAGCGAGGTGAGAGGGGAAATCCTGCAGCACATAGAATGTATTAAGATAAAACACTTTATGACTTTAGAACTACTTTCAGTTTAACCTTCTTGTGTTGTCCCCTATGTTCAGGTCTATTCTAAGAAGGGAGGCATTCAGTATTACAAGGTTTGCAGCATCACTAAAAGATATTCTTCTAACACAGAAACACAAAAAGTTATTTATCTTGAAAGGCAAAAGAGGAAAAGAATAAAGCAATTTGTTAGTGGTGATCCTGTATCTGCACATCTGACATCTGCATTACCAGCTTACGTCTGAAATGCATTATTACTAAGATTCCATCATAAAATCCATATTTCCCACAAATCAATAGGACATCATCATTTCCAAATCAGCTAATCGTTTTAAGTAGAGAAATACCTCTTTCTTGAGTAAACACAATTCTGCTATGAGCTTGTTATGGTGGCTTACATGTCACCATTCAAGAGGAAACGACATACAGCAGAGCCATGGCAAGAGCAACAGGTAATTACAGGGGTTTCCAGTAGAACAAAATGACTACGTAGGCTGAACAAAATATAAACTCTGTATTTTCACATCTTAGAGATCACAGGGAGTCTACAGTCCCCATTCACAGCATGAATGTGCAAGCTTGACAAAGATACGTTACAAAACATTTACCTACTAATAAAATGATCTGTTTTCGAATTACTGGTATTTTTAATGGCATGCCTAAAGATAGGTTCACATTTGTGCTTTGTGATGATGGACGTAAAATAGTGCACATTCCTGCAATGCACAAAAAAAAAGAGGCATCCCTTTTGCAGGCACACAGTGGTGCCATTAATATTTAAAAATGGTACCCCAATGCACTTTGCTAATGCGTTTGTGCTTTTCTACATGTCAAAATGCATGGTAACAAAGGAACATGCGTCTCGAGTGGCACAAATCAAAAAAGGGGTCAAGCTCTTCTTTTGTGTGATTTTCACAAATAAGGCTGCCTTTGAAATTAATGGGCTGTCCTAAACACAAAGTGCAAAATCACACATGCACTGACAAACTGCCATGGGTGTGAATACATTAAATGGACTGCGATGCAATTTTTATGAAGTTATGTTGACAGTGCTGACCGCAACACGGAACATGTGCTAAAATGAGAAAAAGCAAGCACACTAGGTTCAGGAAGATTACTGAAGTCCTATGCCAAAGCCAAAGGAGGTTCAGGGAGCTGGAGGCCCCCCTTTTTAAAGTGGTATTGAACGCAAAAGCAAACATTTATTATTTTGCCATTTACCAATTCATAGATGTGTTGGCTGCATTAGTTTGCTTTTTTGGGCTCTTTTTTCACCTGGTGAAAAACCTGTTGTTTTTCAACAGAACAAGCTGTCCTGCAGATGTAGATGTTAGAGGGCTGAGACAAACCATTTAACACGACAAAGGTGATTACAATGATCAGCTTTTATGTAAAATATTTATGCCAAAAGGAAAAAAAAAAACGGTTGCCATAGCTGCTTAAAAAGTGTTAGCTGGAGTTTGGCTTCATTTTGTTAGTGTATTTAAATCTGCTAGTACATCTAACAGACTGACAGTGCTGCTGTCCAAAAGGTGTCTGTTGCTCCTTCATCCAAAGTGCAGGTACTCTAATACAGGAGGTTTGTTAGGCTCCATGTACAATGCAGCTGATAAACTCACATTTAGGAGCTGTTCAGCAATTTTTCCAGCAGCCCCTGAACACTCCCTAATGTTTTCCTATGTGTCCATGTACACTATGTCGTTTACAGTCGATTACAGGCAGTTGAGTTTACAGTCTTTTTTTTAACGCACCAAACTTGTGTTCAGGAGTAGATTTTATCAGAGTTTCAAACTCCAACCGCTTGTAAACGTGGCTAACCGTGTTTATAAGCGTTTACATTTCTTTTTTAACTCTTCCATTTCCAGATGCTGTCCAGAGCCTTTTTTTCATCATGAAAAATGCATGCAAAGCTTTTTCCCAATACTCAAATGGACCTGGTACACCATACTTTGAGGTTTCGCATGAAAGAAAATATGTTAGACACTGCTGCAATCATTTCTGCACAGAAAAACGAGCTGGAACACATCCAAACACCACTAAAAAAAGACAGCTAATCTCAACAAATACTATTCTCTCTTCTGCTCGCTCTATTTCTCTCAAAATGTCTGAAATAGTTAATTTTTTACTGTTTTAAGTGCATTCTGGGCATTTTGGAAGGTCCCCTAGGTCATCTTTAAAAAACGCTTCTAAACGCAAACGCACATAAACGCGGTATGCAAACGCAGCTAAACAGATGTTTTGTAACCTACGTTTTCCAGCAGTCGTTTCCATCGTTCAGGAGTGTCCAGTGTACATGGAGCCTTACTGGCTGATCACCAGGTGAAAACAGAGGCAAAAAGCCTTACAAAGAAAACGAATGCAGTCACCACATCTAATGATTGGTAAGCTGCAACATACCACATTTTTTGTTTTGGGTTTAATACTGATTTAGGGTGACAAGAAAAAAAGGTATATCACCTTGATAAAGAGAAGCTCTGTGTCCCTGAAACATTGATTTTGATGAAATTTCCTGGATTTGAACCTAGAATGCAGGTTTCGTCTCAAAACTTGAGCACCCACGACCATACTGGAAATCAATGAGTCAGGGTGGATTAAGTTGTTGACATTGCTGTCTGCATCCCCCTCATTGGGGATTCGCTCTCACCCTCTGACCTGAGGACCACAAAGACAAAGGAAGGAGAAATCGAAAATGTGACAGTTGTCACCAGAACAGGAATAGACTGGAATCTCCCAATGCAAACCTGTTCTGGTTGTGTCTCTGGGACATAGAGAGAGGCGGAAAGGAAAGAAAAAGTAACCTAGAAGGAAAGTTCTGGTTGGGGAATCACCAGGGGCCCAGAAGAAATGTACATCAGATATAGACTGTGCAGTGATTTAAGAGCAAAGAATACAGTCAAAAATGACTGGTAAAATTCTAAAGCAAGGGTAAGGAGAGTCCTTGTAAGGATTTACTGTTTAGGAAACAGAGTGCAGATAGGGACAGTCATCTAGTGAGATTAAATTTACAGTGTAGTAAAATGCATCATAAAGTGAAAACCATCACTCACAAGTACTGACATTTCTTGCAAAATAGAGCAGTAGGTACTTTTATTTCTGAATGCCTTAAAAATTGATTGTAGAAGGAATAGATCCATACGGATAGGGGGACTTGTAACGGTGTAAATATTGCCCTTATATTTATGATGTCCATACATCTATGGTGGAGGGTCTTTAAAACTGTCAACGGGAAGGTGATTTTTAAAGACAGACATTTTGCAGATTAAACACGTTTGTGGTTGTGTATATTCCTTTTTGCACATGTGGACTCTTCTACACTGTCAAAACTAGGATAGTGCCGAATCTCATTTTTTTCAAATACTGTATTAACAGTGAAGAAAATATTTTCAATTTTACACAGCCCTTACTTAGCTCATCAGGATTTTATGACATATAATAGGAGCAGGGAATACTTCATAGTCTTGGCTACTCGTAGAAGTAAAGGCAACGTTACCAATATTTTATCTCTTTTTTTTTTTTTTTTTTTTTTTTTTTTTTAAGAGTTCGTTCACATTTATTTATTTCAGGTACTTTTATAGCGCCATCAATTTACGCAGCGCTTTACTTATATATTGTACGTTCACATCAGTCCCTAACCCTCAAGGGGCGTACAATCTAAGAAACATTAGCATGCTGCACTGAAGCTGGTGAGTGCTGG